TTTCAGAGAACTTACAACTGTTCCTATCATTTTCCTTTTCGTGTTTTAGACAGAAGACCTGGTCTCTGTCAGAACTATTGTTTTCAGATAAATGCAACTGACATTCTGCATGAAGCTCTTAGTCTTTCAAACAGAACATGTGTGCATTGCTACTGACATGGACAATCATGCTGGGCCATTTGTAGAACTGTGTATAAGCTGTGCTTTAAAAACATTTCTAATCCCTGTGTTTCTCAAAATTAATTGACATTCAGAGAGAAATAAAATGATCAAATTTCATCATCTGTCAAATTTCATGACAGGAAGGCCAGACACCTAAACTAGCCACTAGGGGGCTGTCAAGTAACGCACTGGTTGATAATCAGTGTGTGCGCGCTCTGTTTCAATCTTAACAATGTCCCTGTCCCTTAAACTAATATTTCTCTAACTTGAGCACTTACTGAAAACTGTTTTTACACAAACCTCAAGTTATGAGTTCCCTCATAACTGTGGATATATCTGCTCATCATCTTCTCTGCTCTAAAAGAACATGTGCTCCACCTACAATGACTGCTCTGGAAATGTCTTGGTCAGAGGGGGAGCTGGGCAGAGGCAGGCAGACCTCTGGGGAGCAGTGTTCTACTGTGTGGTAGTCAACTATGGCCTGGCTTGTGTAACACTCCCAGAAGCCACATTCACGTTTCACCCGCAGTTAACCCTACAAAACATAGAAACACACACACACACCACTCCTTGCCTTGTTTCAGCCCTGCCAAGCAGCAGACTGTTGTGCCAGTCTTAACCAGGGCTCACTCAGTCCTGAACGTGTGTTTATAGGTGATTACAGTTGTATGTTTTGGCCTGCTTCTGAATGTGTAGCACAGTTGCTCATAACTGACATTGATAAGAAACATTCAGTGTATTTACTGTCTACATCTTGTGTCAGAACGTCTCTACCAACCTCTTTTAACTCATCTAGTTTAAGAGGCAAAGTTCTAGGTCTCTGTTTGGTAGCAGCGTTAATTAATTAACTGTTGTAACAGGTGTAGCCGTTGTTGCTTAGAATCCACCTGAACACATCTCATCTGTTTTTATACGTTCTCCTCTCTGGCTCATCTTTTAGCTGGAGGAAGTGCGCGGTGTACCAGCCAGCAGTGAGAAGGCCATCTCTGAGGCAACAGTTCGCAAGGAAGAGCTGGAGAAGCAGAAGGTGAAAGAAGAGGAAAAACTTAAGGAGGTCATGGAGAGTCTGAAAGAAGAGACCAGTGGCTTGCAGCAGGACAAAGAGGTGTGTATTCTTTGTATTCTCCTTAATGATAGTTTGTTGCAATCTTTGTATCACTTAGGGTACAAAACCTTTTGTGTTTTCTAACCCCACCTCTCTTCTTGTATTTTCCAGACCAAAGAGAAAGAGCTGATGGAACTCAGTAAGGCTGTAAATGAGACCCGTTCCCGTATGGACCTGGCTCAATCGGAACTCGACATCTACCTTAGCCGCCACAACACCGCTTTGACACAGCTCAACACGGCCAAGCAAACTCTCCAATCCACCTCTGACACTCTGCGAGATCGCCGCACTGCCATCAAAGATTTAGAAGTCAAAATACCCCAGAAAGAGCAGGAGCTCAAGAAGGTATAAGCAAATATCAACATTGTTGTTTGGAAGGCATTTTATTGGAGCAGCATTTTATCACATCTTGTGTTTGGAAACCACGAAGCACAACTTTTTACTCACTACATCTGTTCAATATATCTGCACAGCAGGTGGTGTAAATTATGTGAACTTTTCCTTGAATTACTTCTCTCTGCAGGATGAGGGAGAGTTGGAGCAGCTGATGAAGATGGATAATGACACCAGAGAAGTGGTGAGGGAAATGAGGCAGAAGGTGGATGAAGCCAAGAGCTCTCTGTCGTCCAACCGCAGTCGAGGAAAGGTCCTGGATGCGCTCATGCAGCAGAAGAAGAGGGGCGTAATCCCTGGCATCTTTGGAAGATTGGTAAAAAGTCATATATTAATTTGACTAGTTTCTCAGCAGGATTTCATTAATGGTCATACAGCCATTGTGCGCAGAAAACCTTGAGTCTTAACATTGCGCAGATTAACATCAACCTCACCTTGTCAAATATATTTTGTTTTAAGCCTTCATTATGTGGAATAAAGCAGAATCCTATAGTATCTTTTTTCTGAACTACTTTTTGTGCTTTTAGGGAGACCTTGGAGCCATAGAAGAGAAGTACGATGTGGCTATTTCTTCTAGCTGTGGTGCTCTGGACAACATTGTGGTGGATACCATTGACACAGCTCAGAAATGTGTCACATTTCTCAAAGAACAGAACATTGGGGTCGCCACCTTCATCGGTTTGGACAAGGTAAAGAAAATTGTACTCAGTCTAGAAGCCTCTTTAATCACTTAAAGAGTTTCAGTTTGGCTAGGTATAATAATGAAATTAGTGGTTTGTGTAACACCCTCTTTCTCCTCCCATCCTTCTTTCAGATGAAGGTCTGGGAGAAAAACATGGCTCCCATTCGTACTCCAGAGGAATGTCCTCGTCTCTTTGACATGGTACGAGTGAAAGATCAGAGCGTGCGACCAGCTTTCTACTTTGCCCTCAGGGACACGCTGGTGGCCCAGGACATGGAGCAAGCCACAAGAATGGCCTTCCAGAAAGAAAAGCGCTGGAGAGTGGTCACCCTCAAGGGACAGATCATTGAGATGGCTGGTGGGTGCTTTTCTATTTCTGTTATAATTTAAACCCAGCTCATGTTTTCTTCATATAGTGTGGGCTTTCTACATGAATATAAGAAAAACTGTTTTCCTGCAGGGTCTTAAAACATCTAAAATTTAATCATCAGGATTTTAGGCTGTAAAAAGTCTTAATATGTTAAAATATTCAATGATGAAGTAGAAGTAATTCTTGGAATATTAATATTCCCTCATTTTCAAAATAATTTAATGTATTATGGTTTTAAAAAGTCTTCAATTTAACTTATTGAAACCCTGATACATATTCTCTTTACAAGTCCTATTATTTGTGTCTCTGTCGTGGTTAATCACAGGGACCATGACTGGAGGAGGAAGAGTAATGAAGGGCAGGATGGGCTCTTCTATTGGCACTGAGGTCTCCCAGGAGGAGGTGAGTGCAAAAGACACAGGTATCGCCGGTTGTTTATTCTGAAGTAGAAAACTGGTCCAGCAGTCAGATACATATTTGGTGTCACTTATAACTGAACCTTTTCCAGATATGAAAATGTTTGTTAAATGTGTCGCATCTATCTGTTAACACAGAAACTCAAATAGCAGATTAGATGTTATAATTGTATTAGTTGACATGATGATAAGCTCTAACTGTGTGTGTGGCTAGCTTGCATCTATCAGTGTTAATTTTGTGAATGTGTTGATAATTAACAAAAAAGTAGAGATTAACAATAGGAAATGACCATTAAGTTCTTACTGCCATAAAACTATGTTGTTATACGCTCTCAAATAAGACTTTTTATTTGCTCCACTCCAAGTGGGTCAAGCAAGCTTCATAAACAATTCCTGCTGTAAACTCAGAGAGCTGAAGTTTTATTTTTCTCTTGTGATTTTCAGATGATTAATATGAGCCATTATTGTCACATAATCACCACAGCGGGTCGTGTACGAGACATGATCAATTGTATGTGTTCTCTGCAGCTTGATCGTATGGAGAGTAAGCTGAACGAGAGGGTGTCAAAGCTGCAGGGCTGCCAAGAGAGAAAGCTGCAGCTCGAGGAGAACATCCAGCGCCTCCGGATGCAGCTCCGGGACATGAAGAACACCCTGGAAAAATACGCCAACAGCATGACTGTACATCAGATACATATCCTCCTTTTCATTCACTGTTTTTCTGTCCCACTCATTTGTCTGTAGCTCAGTAATAACCTCTACAATTCACAGCCAACTTAGATGTATAAAAACCTTTCTTTGTGTGACCGAGTATTTTCCTTTTTTCCTTCTATCAGAGTCTTGCTGACCAGGAGGCTCACTTGAAACTGCAGATGAAGGAGCTTGAGGCTAACGTGATCGCAGCTGCCCCGGACAAGGCCAAACAGAAGCAGATGGAGAAGAGTCTGGATGCTTTCAAGAAAGGTGGGTTCCTGTAAACGGAAGGAAAATAATGTTATTGATTGTTACATGGTAGTCATTAGTTGTAATTTGTGGAAAAAATTACACTCAACATAAGAAATTTGTCAAAAATTTCCCATTTTATCGTTACTTGTTTTAGTGTCAAAATAAACCTGAAATGTTTGTTTATCACAATTAAACTGCCTTCAGACAATCACTGAACTCTGGACATTTTCCTGAAATTTTCCGTATGTGAGAACACAAATGTCAGTTGCTGCAGACATTTTATGTAACTTCTCCTGCCAGCCCCCTAGTAAAATGTCCAAAGTGAGCCCATGTGGGAATACAGCAGGAAAATTCACAGCGAGTGAGTGGGTGTAATGATGACATTTCTAACTTGTGGTGGACACAAAACAGAAAAAAAGTATTAAAATATCTCAGGATGAAAAAGAGAAGCAGTACACTGGAACACACAGACAAAGATGTCAACTTGGAAAGAAAACAAGATTCAAGAGCTATTGACGATAAGATTTTGATACGAACAAAAATGTGTGATTTCCAAAGCAGAGTTTGAAGTCATATCCCGCCTCCTGAATGCTCTAGCCAGAGGACAACCTTGGCCTGAATCTTCCAGACGTTTTCTTGGAATTCATGTCAGAAAATGGTTTTGGATTCATAAAAATAAGTTCTCTCAGATGAATCCCACCATCTAACATGAGTTTAACTGTTCTATCTCATCCCTCTCTCTGTGCTCTGTCCCTTCACACCAACTTTTGCTCTCTCAGACTTCGATGCAGCTTCTAGTAAAGCTGGAAAAGTGGAAAATGAGGTGAAGAGGCTCCACAACCTGATTGTAGACATCAACAGCCACAAGCTAAAGGCTCAGCAGGACAAGCTTGACAAGGTCAACAAGGAGCTGGATGACTGCTCCTCCACCATCACCAAGGCCCAAGTAGCCATTAAGACAGCTGGCCGGTGAGGAACTGATGCACAATATGTCCATCACATCTAAGACCCATTAGGTTACAGGAACAATTACTGAACTTGTTTTTCTCCCTGGTTTAGTTGCTGCTTTCTTTGAGATGATCAATGTGGTGGTTGCAACTGAATCAGTCATTTAATCAATAGTATCTGTAGCAGGAACACTAAGATTGATCATGTGCTCAGGAGAGGCTGAAGTCTGCGGAAGCGAAACGACAGTGACGGCTGCAGGTGCTGTGGCTTGTTTAGCTTCATGAACTATCCAACCAGTTCAGAACAGTGTAGAAAATCAACTGAGACATTATATTAGCTGTCTGCACGCTTGGAGAAAAAAAGCCAGTACTCTAAAAGGAGGCTGCACTATCCACCTTTACTTAAAACCAGACTGTTAACAAGCAGAGGTGCACTGGTTGCTCCCGAGCAATACTCACTCAGTTTATGACAGAACGTGACACTGTCAGTAGTTTTACTTACACATATATTAACCACTACCACACAAAGGTTAATATCTGTCTTCTGCTGTCTGTGTCTACTCTGCAGCAACCTGAAGAAGTGTGAGGAGAGTGTGAGTCGTGTGCAGCTTGAGCTGGAAGAGAATGAGAAGTCGATGGCCGAGTTCACAGAACAACTGAAGAAGCTGGAAGACGAGGCTGGGGAGATCATGAAGGCCTGTCAGGAGGCAGAGGTTTGCAACACTTTCTTGCTTCAAGAACAAGAGAGAACACTTTCTGATGAAAAGCTCCAACATGAGTAAACTGTTGAGACACAATGTTTTTGAAATAAGATTTTAAAGGCGAAAGAAACAGATACATTTGATCAATGTCTGCTAACCACCTTGTAATAAATGTTTTAGACAAGTATGCCAGTGATCAAGTAAACTTGTATCTTTCATCTCATTAATATCTCATCCTCTTCTTGCTGTAGCTCTGTGAAATCACCACATGTAAATGATTCTTATGGTAACACAAACAAGGTGAGCACCACTGTTTTCTCTCTCTCTCCTCCTCCAGGCGGAGCTTCCAGAGGTGCAGGAGCAGTATCAGGGGGTGCTGAAGGAGATCAAGGTTCTGCAGCAGCAAGAACACGCTCTGCAGGAGGAGTCCCTCAGCGTCCGGCTCCGCGTCGAGCAGATAGAGACGACCATCACCGAGCACAACAACAAGATCAAACACTGGCAGAAAGAGGTAGGATGGGAAACAGGGGGGGTTAATAAGAGGAAATAAACTATATACTCAGCAAAGTATTTGTTGAGACGGAGAGGAAAACAAGCCTCAAAACATCCTGTAGATAATTTATTTCTTCACTGATGTCATTTCAGTTCTTCAGGAGCTTTGCTAAATGAGGTGTTGAACAAATTCATCCACGTATTCCACGAATTGGCTCTTAATGAGTTTTTTCTTTTTAGAGACATTAGTTTTCTGAACTGAAGGCTGGTGTTTAAGGGATTTATTTGTCAGATTGTTGGAAGTTACAGTTGTTTTTGTCACAGGCGTGTCAGTAAACTAATTATTTTTTTCCCCGCGCTGATTAAATATTGTTGTTTATGTTCTTCAGGCCAGCAAGTTGTCCCTTCACACGATTGAAGACAAACCGGCAGAGGAACTTCCTGTTCTCACTCCTGCCGACCTTGAAGAAATCTCTGATCCCAATGTCATCATCAACAAGATGATGAGGTTAGAGACACAGTGCGCTCAGATGAAGCCAAACCTCGGAGCCATCGCTGAGTACAAGAAGAAGGTATGAACACACAAGAACAGGCATCCTGTCTAAGTTTGTAAATTCACCTGAAGCATTTCTTGACTTTACACCAAATGAACAGTAAGAGGCTAATTTCCCGTTGTTTTTAAAAACAACTGTTGAAGTGAGGGGTGGTGGGCGGCGGGGGGGGGACTCAGAAATGTTTTTCAGCATTCATGTCAAACTAGAAGTGCATACCTCCACCAAGGCTAGCACCATATGTCGCAGACAAAAACCAAACCTCCTTGGCAGTGGTTATTAAACACTGTCATTATGTAACTATGTGTCCAGGAGGAGCTGTACCTGCAGCGAGTGGCTCAACTGGACGAGATCACGACAGAGAGGGACCAATTCAAGCGCGGCTACGAGGAACTGCGCAAACAGCGACTCAACGAGTTCATGACCGGATTCAACATGATCACAAACAAGCTGAAGGAAAACTACCAGATGCTAACGCTGGGTGGTGACGCAGAGCTGGAGCTCGTCGACAGTTTAGACCCCTTTTCTGAGGGCATCATGTTCAGGTGACTTTTCTTTTTAGGTTCCTGTCAACACTTCTCTAGACATAAATCCCATCCTTTTGTTTCGACACTGATTCTGTTTCTGATGTGTCTAGTGTTCGTCCTCCAAAGAAGAGCTGGAAAAAGATCTTTAACCTGTCTGGAGGAGAGAAGACGCTGAGCTCATTAGCTCTGGTGTTTGCGCTGCACCACTACAAACCCACACCGCTCTACTTCATGGACGAGATAGACGCTGCTCTTGATTTCAAGAATGTCTCCATTGTTGCCTGTTACATTTATGTGAGTATGACCGTGTGTTACGTGACCAGACAAGCTGCATGTTCAAGTTATGTTCTAAAACTCTCTAAAGTATAAAAGTACATTTTAGGCAGAAAGGATCATGAAAAACATCTGCCAACGGAATTCTGAGTTAATCAGTGAACTAATCACTGACTCATGAGAACCCAGTGTTTGTTGTGTAACACTGAACAAGCTTCATTCTCAAGTTTACTATTTGACAGCACCTCTGTAGTAGCTATTCACTAAATAATCCTCAACTGAGATTAAAATCACAATCTCTCTTCGATCTGTAATTTTTGTTTCTCTCTCCTCGTCTCTGCAGGAACAAACAAAGAACGCTCAGTTCATCATCATCTCTCTGAGGAACAACATGTTCGAGATCGCCGATCGCCTCATCGGCATCTACAAAACTCACAACACCACCAAGAGCGTGGGAATCAACCCCAAAACCATCGTGTTCAAGGAGCATGACGCAGTCACTGCTTAAACCTCAACAGTCTCACGTCTTCACTGTTTTACTTTCTTTCACCCACATGTGTAAATATTTATATCTTGTTTTCTTTTACAATGAAATGCTGCTATTTTTTACTATCTGACCTAATAAAAGTTTCCTGGAAAAATCTTTACCTTAATGCTAACACTCATCACTGCTCACATGTACATAAACATCTAATATCAAGAGTTTAAATATATTTTGGTCAAACTTTCTCCAAACGTGGGCTTTGAAAGATATTTTTGTAACTTGATCAAATGTTTTTTTGGGCACAAACTTAATTAAAAAGTTTTGTACCTTGACAGACTGTAGATTATAGCTCCACACATTTGGTTTTTGGGAGCAGATACTAATATTGGGGAGTAAAAAACACACACACATATATATATATATATATATATATATATATATATACGCAGGTATATATTTTTAAAAATTGGCAATGCTTTCTAGAATGTCATTTTCAAACCTTTGATAAATGTAATTTAGGCTTCGTATTTTAGTTTATCTACAAACTTGAAAACTAGAATGTTCCTCTAGGATTTTCTAAAGATTTTTATTTGGATCTGTACCACATTACACAATATCAGTCCCCTAAATGTCTCCTTTTAAATTTCTCCGGTCAAGATCTGTGATCTGTGATTGTACAGATAAATCAATGTTGAAAATCACTTATTTAAAATTTTGAAGAAAGTGAAAAAGATTTCCTGGACCACACCAATCTGTCTTTACATGAGGCAACGTACGTCTTGGGATGTACGACCAATTTCACAAGAGATTCTGACAATAAGTGTCACCTAATCTAAAAAAAGTCACGCCTCACCCCTCGTTGAGTTTCATCGAAAAAAGTTTGGGTAGGTTTTGCATGATCCTGCTTAAAAACAAATGCGTAACCTCTTTGGTGGAGACAACTATACACTTAGAGAAAACACATTTACAACACTGCAGCCAAATATGTAGAGCTTGAATTAAGTTAAAAAGCAGCTCTTGGTGAAGGTTTGTGTTCTAAGTCATTCTAGTGAAGTGGTTTTTAAATTCAGCTGGTCCAGGAACAGCTCAGTGATATGTGCCTCATGTGTCCACACTGGTAACATCCTGCTGTGCGGATATGTGACAGCTTGGATACATGTATTTATATATTTCACACGGCTCAGGCAAGTGCAGCAAACATCTGTTAATTGAGTTCACTGCACCACTTTGAGACAAACTGAAAAACTGGCACACACAACATATGAACATTAAAAACCAAAACTTAAAGCATTCAAACACATTTATTTTAAATACAGGAAAAGAGAAAACATTTATAAAAATACAACAATAGAACATTTGATAGTAAGTGAAAGTGTGCTCGAGTTAAATGCTGTAACATTTGTGGGACACAGTTGTGCCGGTGAAGCTTTTCCCAAGGCCGTATATTTTTTTAAATAGACCGTGTTCCATTACGCTATTTTAGTCCTGAGGAAGTCGTTTTGGTCCTGATGGAAAAATCAGTCCACTACTTAAAACTATCAGGTGCAGCTGAGGTAAAGGCATGATGGGTAAAAGGCACAGTCTGGGGGCCACTCAGCATCACTGCAACATGATCTGTGGAGGCTTCAGGTCAGATCCACTGTGCGTCTGCTTCCACTCAGCAGGATCTACTTCACATACTGCTCCGATACTGAAATGCTCCACTGCATGATGGGAAAGGCGACTAAATAGTCTCCAGGCACCAATTTCACATCTAAGGCTCCACTTTGCTTTTCTAAAACCGTATGTCTTTGTTGGGATTATCATAATTTATAAGTCAGGCTGTGTGTAGATCATCTAAAATACTAGAAGCCAAAGAACAAAACAGTTATTGACACGATTTGGTTCATAAAAACACACGAATTAAATTCATTCTCTTAAGAGCGTAAAAGCATTTCTCACATTTTCTGTGCTGCTCTCGCAAACGTGGATATGATGTCATATCTGAGGCTTTTTCCTCAATCCTCATAAAACCCCTGGACATTTTTGAAATGGAGCTACAGGATAGAATCCACCCTCAGATTAAATATTAACACCTGAAGTAAATGTGAACGTTAATACAATTATAAAAAGAGGTATTTTGTGATGAAACCGTTTGCACTCATTCTGCTTTAAGTTACATTTGTGATGTTCACTTATTGATCTTCTGCAAGTTCAGTTGATGATTAACTAAAAGAAAGGAAGCGGACCTGCAAGGCATTATGGTGTATTCACACTAGTGTCGCTACATCAGGGTCAGTGTTGCTCTTCATCTAAAAATAAAGCCCAAACTCAGACAACCACGTTTCTGTCGAAGACCAAAATAAATAGCAGCTATTTCAAATATTTTTCTCAGTTTCTAAATAAAAGGGGAAAGGGTTTCAGTTTGGTGTTGTTATGCAGTTAAACAGCCTAACTGCTGGAAAACCTTTTCCCCGACCGAGGACAGCTGCGTGCTCCAACTCTCCACAGCCGCCTCCATCACTGTGTATGCCGACACCGCCGTGTCCCAGACAGATGTGATGACTTCGCTACTCAGGCCGTGGACGAACTGACTGAACCGAGACAACAGAGAGAAGCCGAGCGACGCCCCACCCACTGGGTCCAACCACAACGCCGCCAGCAGCAGCAGCAGCCCCAGCAGCACCACAGAAGAAGTGGGTTTACACCACAGCTCCTGCACCGGGCTGTCGGCCTCCACGCCACCACATCTGCCACAGCAGCTCACCTTAGGAACAGGTGCTTCCTCCAGGCTCCCGATGGTCACAGCAGGCCAGTGCTGCTGAAGGTAGTCTGCTGCCCGCGGTGTGACGCTGACGTTTATCACCGAGGGCAGCGGGGTCTTCAGAAACTCCTCAACCCTCTCTCTGAGCAGATGCGCCTTCTCCAGGAAGACCAGCGGCGACTCCTCCTCCTCCACTGACGAGCCCAGAGACACCAGGTCCAGCTGTTTCTCCTGGAGAACACAAGACTGATATCAGAGCTGCTGAAACGACGAGTCAATTCATCAATAACCTACTGATGATCAGAACAATGTTCATGTCTCTGTGTTTTGCCGTTTATTTAATTTTACGTTTGAGCTGTGGACAAATCAACCAATGTGAGGATGTCAGTTTGAGCTAAGGGAAGTTGAATATTTTAAATATAATCAAATACATTTCAAGCCATAGTTTTCTTTATGTATGACACTTCTTGTTCACCCTGAGATTTGGGCATACTTCTGTTTCTTTCCTGTTTTGCATGTTTGACACACGTATACTTGGTGAATCCTGCTGTATCCTCACTCACTCCGACATTTTCAGTTCATTTTACGAGGGGGCTGTGGTGGGAACATGTCTGAAGAATGTTCTGACATTTACGTTCTCTCATACAGCCCTTCTGGATCATTTCTGGAGAATGTTCAGAGTTCAGTGCACGTTTGAAAAAAGCTGATTCCGAAGAACGACTTCACCAATTCATTTATCACTTCATTCTTGAAATGCAAAAAACCAAACTCTTCCATAATGAATGACAGTGGAGCACCAATATCTGGAGTTGAACTGCCTGAGAGCTGCTAAAAACTTTATAAAATACATTAAGTCAATTATTTATGCGCTCTGAATATTGTAAATATTCAATTTTATTTGTATAGCACCAAATCATAATATACATTATTACACAGAAGGTCAGGACCTTAAAATGCAAAGAGAAACCCAACAGTTCCCATATTCACTATAGATTGACAATGGTGACGTGAGCTCTGAATGGAAGTCAGTCAGTCACACCTGTATTTCCTTCACTCTGTGGATGAGTGGGTCGTAGGCCCGGGAAACCTCAGCACCAGCTTTGTCCAGCGCCTCCAGGTACGCTTGTCTCTTCTTGGCCAACACCACCTTTAGCGTCTGAAAAAACTGATTCACTTCCTGTCTGTCCTGCCTCACCAGAGCCTCACAGCGAGCCTTCTCCTGCTCCAGCTGCTCCGTGAGCTCACACACCTGACGGAGGGAGAGATGAGGGAGAGCGCAACTGAAGAGCTTTCTTTGGAATTTATATTTATATTAATTATTTTGCCAACTCAGATTAAAAAAAAAAAAAGCCGTATTGAGACCATTCCCAACCTGTGCCCATCTCTGGTCAGAGAGTCTGGTCAGCAGTAACGATGGCGTCTGCTTCTCTCTGATGAAAGCCGCCTGCAGGTCGTCTATGGGATGACCCTGGTGCTGCCCGACGGTCAGGCAGAGCCCACAGATCAGCTGGCGGTCCTGGATGCAGTACATATTCAGAGGCTGCCTGATGTGCTCCTGACAGGACGGAGGTCGTGGCTCACAGTCACTCTGGTACTGAGACAGCAAACGAGCAAACAGACGACAGATGAGCACACGCTGATGCAGATAAGTAACGGCCAACAAGAGGATTCTAAACTGACAGCTGGTCACTGGGTAAAAGTTTAAGCTGAACACAAGTGGTTCTCTCCTACTTTCTCGATGATGGCCCGGAGAGACACGTTGGTCGGCAGAGCGTCGACGCCGGTCACAGGCAGCTCCATCACGCTGCGACAGTTGGGGCATTTTAGCGGCTGACGGAGCGGACGCCAGATGGAATAGTTTGTGGACGTCCGGAGCAAGTTGTCCAGGCAGGTCTTACAGAAGGTGTGAGAGCACGGCAGCACTCGAGGGTCAGAGAACAGAGAGTAGCACACAGAGCATGTCAGGTCCTCCTCTAGGTTGTCCATGGTGGAGAAGATGATCTGGCAGGACGGATGAAAGGCTACGTGTTGCACCTGTCCAGCAAAACATATCAACTTGGCACAAATGTACAGTGGAGACGACTTGGGACAAAACGTGATGAAAGATTAGGAAGTCAATAAAGACAAAAATGGATCCAAAAGTTTCATCACATTTCCAAACAAGAATTAAAGGCTCACGATTTTCAAACATATGATTTAACAGTTAAGTCAGTTTAAAAACATACATTTCCTAAGTTTACCTGTTAATACTTTGTAGACACAAGCAGATTATATAATGATAATATTGTTTTAGCCGAGGTTAAGTCGGGGTGTTGCCGCTCGGGTGTGACATTTTCATGATTGTGTCAAACCAATATTTCATCACCATCTCCAGACAGTGACTGTAACACTCACAAGAACTGTTCTGTGGATTTTAAACTTCAAAATTCTTTGATGTATATATTAATGCATCATCATAAACACATTAGTCACATCCCACTCATATTATTGACAGTTTTTGTTTGGCAGTGGTCTCAATTAACCAAGTTCTTGAAACTGTATTCTGTTTATCTTGCTTTGTATGAACAATATGACCTCAGTGCTAAAACAGAATAAAAAAGACGATCATGCTAGGCATCATAAAAAAAAAAAAGACCTGATAATTGTATTGGATTAATTAAATAGTAGGTGTGTTAAAATAAAGTGGCCACGTAGTGTATAATTAGTGCTGCTCATTAAAAACAGCAGGTAACAGTATTGATAATGATCTCGATAATATCACATTATTCTTTCAGGCCTCTGCACCTGAGTTAAGGTGGCGGTGGTGAATTATTTACAGAGAATAACAAACACGTACACATTTTAAAAAATCTGAGGTGGATCAGTGATGTGTTAAAGCTGAACTTATTGGCTCACACACAATGCTTAAGGAAGATATTGAGATATACATATGTTGTATTTTTGTAGGATTGTTATTGAAAGTGTCGTGATGATCATAGATATAGTTCATCAGCAATAATAACAAGCTCAGAGAGAAGATCTTTTACCTGGAAAACAATTTAACTGTTGAGATCCTGTTACAGGATCAGGTGTGTGTCTTTGTCTCTGTATGTGTGTCTCTCTCTGTGTGTGTGTGTGTGTGTGTGTGTGTGTGTGTGTGTGTGTGTGTGTGTGTTCTCCTCTGGTTACAGCCTGTTACAGTGACAGTACGAGGCCTCACGCCAGCACATAGCCGGTCCCTGCTGCCACAGACACACAATGTGGTTCAGCTGTGCAACAACTGAACCTGCAGCCATGTTGGCGCCCAGATTCAAACAGGTGACAGGTGCTGAGGCTCCATCCTCCTCCTCACCTGACCTCAATGTCCACACACTCCACCTGTGATCAGGACACATTCAAAACTGATTTCTTTAACTGTTTCCACACGCAAGCATCTTGACTAGGTTTGGTCATTTTAATCTTTTCTAATAATGGAGGCATTTGCATTTTCGTTTCAAACAAATCAGTTGTAGTTTTAAAAGGTTCATGTGGCGAAACCTCAGCGATCAATATGTAAAATGATTGTTTATCCTGAATTGAAGCTAACTCCGCTCCCAGATACAAGCGTCACAAGGCACCGATACTTTCTCAACAAGATGGCGACCGTGTGTTTATCCTACGACTCATTTCTAGAGTTGAAGACAGTTAAAACTCAGTAAAGGAGGTTTTGGCGACATGTTGGATAAGAACTCACCGTCTGCTCGGAGCAAAATGTTTCTCCACAACAGAGCCTTCATTTCCTGTTCCTCCTGCTGCCTTTAAGTGCTCTCAGTAAATCCCAGCCCCGAAGAGCAACAGGAGGCGGATATATTAGACCACATGAAACTTTAAGAGCACGCTTGAATCATTAACTATGCAAGGTGCGTTCAGGGTTTAAATATTTATGTTCCCCCTCGATATATAAAAAACAGAAATCCTTAATGTGTAGTTTAAGTGACGTTTTCTACTCGATCGCTTTTTTCAACAGCTGCAGCGAATGCATCATTTGTCCTGGTCTGGTAGTACGCATGCGCAAAAGCGGTCTCCTCGGCCAATCAACGTGCGCTCTTTCTCGATTTGAATTCAAGCTGAACAGCTGAGTGGAAAAACGAGGGAGTTGGTTGTTTTATGTATTTAAAAAAAAAAAAAAAAAGGTGGAAAAGGTGAATAAGAGAAAAAGTAAATCACACCACTTCTTCACAACAGACCACACACGCACACACAGTCTCTCGATTTGGGTTTCACTATTTATTTTCTCCAAGACAACCTATCCTGTAGCCTATCTCCCCCAAAACGTTTTTTTTTTGGAGCAAACCACCTTTTTTACTCTCCTTCCATTTAATAATTTTAGATTTGAAACCACATGTTTGCTAACAAGGAATGCTGCAAAAAAATACCCCTATGTTCAACAGAAGGTTTATGAGCACAATGTGTAATCATTTACTACAGTGTTTGAAGTTAACACAAAAATGGAAAAGGGTAAGCTTGTACACCTAGCTGGTATAGGAGGAGAGAGGAGTACGGGGCTAAGGACTGCAAGGTACTAAATGTACAGCAAACTTGTTCATGGGTTTTTTTTTATTATTCAGGAGAACCCATTTAGGACAACTCCCCTTTGACCGTGAGAACAGGGAGGGTGAGTCCCCTCTTGGTCTAGCTGAGATACATTAGCAGATTTCATTACTGCTTGCTCCTGAAATAGTCATGATTTTCTCAAGTATCACTAAAAAGCATCATTGGATTACTCTAGAAATACAACAAAGATTGTGGTTGAGTGATGCATATTGTTGAGGTTGCTGGCAGGTCAAAACCTATGAAACCGACCAACACTCCTTCAGAAAGACTTCAGGCCTCACTTTGCAGTACATGTGCAAAACCATAAAGATTATTTAGCAAATTGGACACTAGTGAGGGGTAAGGGAAGGGAAACATGTAACATTTAAGCACAGTTTTACTTAAAAAGAAAATTACACTGTATCCACAGCCTAAGGAAACTAAAATACCCTAAAAATAACTGTGCTATAGTTTAGTACATGCAAAGGTTATGATTCACAATCCTACGTGAAATGGCCATTGTTCTTTTCTCCCTTGGTGATAAGTCAAAGCTATGGCAACAATACTGCAAAGCAGTGATTTTGCTGTAAATTGAAGGACAAATAATTCAGTGTCACAAGGGGAACAGGTCATTTGGTTGATTATAGTGATGGTGTCAGAATTTCACAGCATCAAGCCCATCTCTGGTGCGTAGGTTAGGTTTGTGGTGTGAGGGTTGAATACGATCATCGTCAATCACCTTTACAGAAGCGATGAAACTAAAAGCTGAAACTAAAAAGTATCATAAAAAGGAACACACTGGAGGCAAAAAGAAAAGCCCAAAAGCCACCAAATGCATCTTAATACAATGCACTGCTGCGCCACTCGTGCCAATAGCATTGTCCAGTGTCAATTAATACTAACATAACAATAATTCAAAAAAATCCTTGTGATGACGAATTTTTTTCATATCCAAAGTTCTTCCTTTTAGGGATTTAGAGGATCAGCCTCTCTTTCAAAGGCAGAATTTCTTTCCTGAAACCTTTGATAACCTCATTGTTGTGTTTCTCAATTTTGATTCTCTTCAGATGTTGTATTTGTTTCTTTTCCCCCCGTCTCTGCATGCGTTCTCACCCAGCCTTGCATACTCCAGTCACGCACGCAGCCAAGCACACACAACTCATCCGTCCATTCTCTCGCACATGCGTCACGCGCAGTCGGACTCCTGGCCCCGCCCACCAGGGGGAGAGGATGGTGCCCCATCGGGGCGTCTTGTTGGAGGAGATGAACCTGGCTCCTCAGCACTGAGTCCAGACATTCATACACAATGGGTCCATTCACACACATGTCTGATAGCGTGGCCGATTGGGGGAGGGGCACATTGAGGGTGGCGCCCTCTCGAGTCGGAGGACCGCAGAATTGTGATGGTTTGTGGTTCATCTCAGTTCAGAATTATAGTTATATTCATTTCTTGATTTCTTATTTTTGGATGTCCTTGGTTCTCCCCGGGCAGACATCGAGTTTTTGTTGTCATTTGAAGTAGTTTTCCGAAGACGACAGCTCCAATAACACAGAAGTTATGTCGGCATGTCTCTCAACGCATTCGATGTAGATGTTTTGCTTTTTTGCAACATGTAGCCACTCATTCTCACTCGCACCCACTCGCCATCTCAAACTTCATTTGGGCTGGTTCCCCTGGAATGCCAAATGAAATCCACACATTTTTCTCTCAGATAAGATGCAGCCATGGATCCCACGAGCTAAGCACAATGGATCAAATTTCTCACACTCTCGCTCTCTCTCGCTCTTTCTCTCCTAATTTTTTTATGTTGAACAGAGTGCTGCATCGTGAACAAAACTCCAGAATACCCCAGATGCCGTCTAGAACTGGAATCCCTCGGCTGGCACGTTGGCTGAGTTAAAGCCGTAAGTTCCGCCCTGGATGGCCTCTGGGACCAGGCTGGTGTCTTCATCAATCTGAATGGCAGACAGTGCAAAGCAGAATTAACAATAATGGTGGATCAAACACCAGTGGTGAACAACTTATTTAAAGAAAATAAAGATTCAAAGCCTCATTGAGCCCAGTGACTTTTAATTTATGTGGCTAAAACTCTTGAGTGGCTGACAGAAAACTTCCCACGAAAGGGAAACTTATTTATTGTCATCTGTCCATCTCTTCCAAAATCTTCCAAAATGTCCATTTGTACCATATTCTACTGGAACATGCCATTGTGCATGATAAATACTTAACTAAATCTAAAATAGAAGAACTTAATATATATATATATACATACATACATATGAATAATACTCACATCATCAGATGAGAAGAACTGATCGATTATTTCATAAGCCAATTTGTAGATGTCTTCATTTTCATGGTTCTGGAGTTGCTCCACCTTTTCCAAACCTGTGGGACAAATACACACGTTTGTACAACAACCGACATCAAATGAGCACTTTTAATGAGTAAAAAAATTAAATTAAAATAACTCACCTCCACATTCCTCAATGAGGTTAGCAATAGTTTCAGCCTCATCGTCAGCCATCTTGAGGATATTGCTGAGGCCATCGAGGACAACCTGCACAACCTGAGCATCCTTCACAGTCAGGAGGTTGCAGAACGGAGGGATCACCTGCTTCTCAATAAGGTGTGCGACCTGCAGACAGTAAAGGGACGATTGTACTGAGTATGAGTAATCTGATAAGTCAGAGAAGGATGCAATACTTCATCAATATTCATTTCAAATTTACTGTTTTTGCTGAGGTGAATCTTTTACATCCAAAGTCTTTGGACACAACTAATATAAAAGTTTGGCAAAATAAACCTAGCACATGAAGGGCGCCCATTTTGTGAAAACCTGTGGTTCTGCCTACGTTTTCTTTTCTTCAAAGATTGTTTCACCATTTTCTATTACACAGATGTATTTGTTTCAATTCAGTAACTTCTACATTGCAGTTTTACAAAGATTAAATAGTGTTAGGAAAGAAATAAGTGTTTAAAAAGCAGGGTAGTTTCAGGTAAAAAAAACTACAACTTACCTGATCTTTTCTTCCACTTATTGTCAGGTTGCTGATGGCCCAGGCAGCTTCCTTCTGAGTGCCAAAGTCGCCCTAAAATATGTGTACATTCAAAGTTAAAAATATTAAAACGTGTTTACTTTGACCTACAAAGAATTGTATACCACATATTTGCACATGATGCAGTGCATATAAAGGAAAGGGGTAGAAACCTTGTCAAGCAGATGAATGATCATGGGGACTAGCTTGGCATCAATGACGGCCTGCACCTGCTGCTGGTTGCCTGCTGTGATGTTGGACAGGAACCACACTGCCTCCTACAGGACATAAAGCACATGTGACATTTTTCTAGCAAAACCAGAAGGTTTTTTGAAATACATTTTATTTTCATAATATATTATTTTATTCATTCCTATGTTTTGTAGACAGATTTTGTTTACAGGTTTTATTCTACCCCAGAAACCCCAGGTGATCACACCCTCGACCGGACAGAAGGAAGCAGTCAGGGAAATCACATTGTGTAAACTGCACATTCCTCTCAAGGGAGGACGTTTAGTATCTAAACTGGATCAGAATCCAGAGGTCTACTCAGGGAGTTTGACCCCTGGTCGAGACTGAGTGCTGTGGGCGAGGCACGGGCGATCGTGAGGCTCTAATCATCGTCCAGGTCACAAAGGAGGCCTCGTTTTTAGGAGTGACTGGTCTCAGATGCACTCCGATATCAGCAGGGACACATGGTCTCAGCACCCTTTGGCCACCAACCCACAAGGTATCACACATTCGATCGCAAGCACACAGACTAGTACCCCGCTCCCCTTCCCAACCTGTCTCATTAACTAGCCACCCAACTGCTGATGTCCTCTCCGTTGTCGTCGTCGTCGTCATCCTGGCGATTCTCCAAGTTATGAAGTCCTACTATTAGCTATCTACCATCTATATTCTCTCACACAGCATCTCACTAGCACCAAGTCTCTGATTTCATCACTTCCAGATAACTGATGTTGCAGTTTGAGATCTACAGTGAGCGTGTGTGTGAGGAGGAGGATAGAGGATTACCTTGTTGATTTTCTCCTTCGGGTGTGTGAGGAGGGCAGGGAAGTGGCTGAGGGCGTCACAGTTAAGCACCACCTGGGTCTGTTCATCTGTGCCAGTCACTATATTTCCAACAGCCCTCAGCGCCGCAGTCTGTGTGCGGAGAGGATAAAACATTTATTTATAGAGAACCTCTTTCTTGAAACTCAAAAATAATACGTTTAAAAGTAGAAGTGGCCCAATCACAGCAAAAACATTTAACATCAATCCCTTGTAAGCAGAGTTTAGTTAGTGTTTGTCATTTATCAATTATCCAATATTATGATATAACATGGAAATGAAAGCAGTTAGCACATGGCAACTTATTTGGAT